GCTGGTCCTGGTTTAGGGCTCTACTATGCCAGGTTGACGCCTCCTCTGCGGATGGTCACCATTGGTGATGCGTCCCACGCCACTCATGACTCCTCGTTCGCCCAGGAAGGTGCCGTAATCTGTCTGATGGAGGACAAGCTGTGTCGCGAACATATCGACACCCGGCGTGATGTAGTACCGCCAGAACATTACGGCCTCCTCGAAGGATACGCACATTTATTGCATCATTTAGGTAGCAAGAGCAAGCGTGTGTCGCATTCCACATCTCATGCTGAATCGTTGATTGCATGCAAGTCACATCAAACAACACATTTGTTGAACATGCGCATCACAGAGATTGTTGCGTCGCACATGTTGTCTCGGTTGCACCGCGTCAAGCTGACGGCGCTGACAATCGCGCAAGATCAGAACATCGTTGCTCTGCCAATGGATCACGTGACAGACTGTAACGAGTTGTTCTTGTTGGCCACAGGGCAAAAGGGCATCCCGACCGACAAAAGCCAAAGGTTGACGATTCTGAGCATCCGGGAAGAGCGTCTGTCCGGTAGAATCAGGCGTTTCTATCACTATCCCACAACATCGATTGTGAGCGACAGCCTGACCAAGCCAGGCACATTCCCATTGTTGCTTCGTTTTCTGTCATCCGGTTTCATGAGTGTTGTCGTAGCAAAGGACAAGCATATATCCGCGAGGCAAGTGAATGCCCCCGAACAAGAGCATTCGGAACACGACCTCGTTCAGCTGACTGAGTGAACGTGTCGTGGTCTTTGTGAGCATGTCGAAGTGTCAGCCGGCTGATGTGTAAATCGCGTTTGTCATGTCGTCATCGTCGTCATCATTGCGTCCATCCGCCGCCGTTTCCGACAGGCCTCAAGCCCCACAGGACACCGGTCGTGTATCGGACCTCCTCGACGAGAGGGAGTTCGTGGTTCTCGATTGGCTCAGACGCTTGTCCAAATTGCGTTTGTTTGCTTGTTGCCGGTCCAAGTGCTTCCCTGAAAGGCAGAGCATGGTTGCTAGCAGTCGGCACGCGCGCCCGCACGAATGCGTGGCACACGTCCTCGGTGAAGCTCCGGTTGAGACAGGGAGATTTGTGAGCTCGTTGAAATGTCTCGTCCTTCCTCCTTTTCTCTCTTCTTCCTCAAGTCTCCAGAACCACGTTGTCCGGAAGAATTCGGGCAGGTCAACAGAGATGCCAAGCAGTGTAATTTTTAAATGTGTCTCAGAAGACCTCTCTGGGTGATGACAATCCAGAAAGGCGAAAGCAGAGTGAGAATTCAGATCAGGGCATTAGCATTGTCATGAGAACTGTTGTGGACTGATGTTGAGCACAGAGGGCCTCCGTAACATACGGTGGCTCAAGGCACCACCACCATTGCAAAACCATCGTCCTCCGGACTCCCCTCCCCTCTCTCCCTCCGCGTGCGTCCTGCGGCCTCCTGCCCACCCGGCCCCGCTCGTGCCTCGCCCTCCTCCCCGTCCTCGCTGCTCCCCGCGTCGCCTCTCTTCCCCTGGCTGCCCCCGTCCTCGCCCGCGCCCCTGGCCCCGAGCACAGCGAACAGCCCAAGGCAATACGAATGGGGCACAGCGTGTCGAAGCAGCAACGAGCAGTTCTCGATCCAAATCGGACATCTAACCTTTGGAAGCAGCAACAAGAGCAATCCTCGCCCACCCTTCCCCGAGCGCAGACGGGGGGGGACAGAACCCCCACCCCGTCACGCCGATTCGTGAATTGTCGGTTTTCGCTTCTCGAGAGGGCGCCGCGGCCTTCATTTTCCAGGCTTGCGCCCGCCAGGTTTGGGCCGGGGGTCGTTTTCACCAAGCCACGTTCTGCTAAAGCGGATTCTGCCCATCCCCCGAGCACCGCAAACAACCCCAACACAACGCAGATAAAAAAGGACATGGCGTGTTGGAGCAGCAGCAAAAAAACAACGTCCTCGCCCAGCCCTCCTCCCCCCCCCCTCCGTTCGAGTCGTCCCGTCCGCGCGCTCCCCAGCCAAGGGCGCCCTCGAGGGCGCGAAGTCATTCACGCTCCGCGCTTCGGCTCCGACTCCTCTGCGTCCTGCTCTTCCCCCCCTGGGAGGCGGCGCGGGAGCGCGAAGTGATTCGCACTTCGCTCTTCGCGCCGCGCGAAGCGCGAAGTTGGGAGCCCTCACAGCCGGGGCGCTGCAGAAGGAACCCTTTTCACTGGGGAGGTGCTCCGTGCTCCTTGATTGTTTCGCAGCTTGCCTCGGGTTTTCCTTAGGCTTCCGATATGAAGTCGAAGTTCAACTTATGGAAAACAAGGGTCGCAGGCGATTTCTCTCCCCCAATCCCCGACTTCCGCCAGAACAGTTTGGTCGCTCAGAAAAGGAGAGGAATCTTGGGATACATCCCGAGGGGGCTATTCGGACGCACCCCTGTCGAGGATGGACGCCCCCCCCTCGTATATCCCAGGGTCGGGCCCCAAATTGTTGATCCTCTCGAAAACCTCACGGAGCCTGGGAAAGGGGTCGACGCATCCCCTGTTAAAGGGCCTCGTCCCTTCTTTAGGGTTCCTTAGGTCAACGCCCCGACTGCACCAGCCCGCCACCCGCTCTCCTCGTCGTCGGCCCCTTCGCTGCGCTCCCTCGGCGCGGCGCGCGCGCCCGCGCGCCGGGCACCGGCGAAGCCGTGCTGAGGGCCGCCGCGGCGCGCGCGCTCCGCGGGCCCTTCTCCGTGTGCTCTTGGGCGCCGGGGGGCCCACAGACCGGCGGCCTCGGGCGCGTCAAAGGAGGACCCGCCGTGGCTCGACGCAGTCTGTCTCTCTCTCTCTCTCTCGCTCTTTCTCGTGTTTCGGTGTAGTGTTTGTTTCGTTTTTTTTTTTTCTCTCTCTCTCTCTCTCCCTTTTTTTTTTTTTTTTTTTTTTCTCTCTCTCTCTCTCTCTCTCCCTCTCTCTCTCACTCTCCAAATAAGAGCTTCTTTCGCAGCGATGCAAGCATGCATGTGACATGTCTATCTGCAGCTTCTGTCGTTGGGGATCTGGCGCCCTTCCCATCAAGTATACAGTCTCATCGCGACAGCACTGCACCGCGCCTGCATCGAATGGTGATCCGGGGGGAGATCAAGGATCAAGGAGGCATTGTGGGAGGGGTGCGGACAGAAATGGTATCATCGCGTGGCTTCCCTAGTACCGTTTGGTGGACGGCCGCGTTGCCATGCCTTTTCTCTTCTTTGTCATGCTTCTCTGGGTTGTACGGTGGTTCTCATTGTAGTCGGCGAGTTCGCTAAAGAAGGGACATGTCTCTTGAGTGACGCGTTCGGACAGCACGGTAATGCAGAAGCGCAGCGATCCGTTCGGATTTCCATCGACAGGGCTCAGGTAGTACCTTGTTGTTCCCTCAGCGGGACGTTAAACATCGCCAAATCTCAAATTGGTGCGGGACGCATGGTTTTCACACGGACGAAGGTTTTTTTACCGTCCTCCACTCACAACCTTCGACTCGCTCCTTCCTCCCGCCTCCTACCTCATCCTGCACCACCGTCTCACTTAGTTCGGCTCTCCACGACTCCCCCCCGGGCTTCTTAGGCGGTCCAACGCCGTATAGACGTTCTCCACACGGGGGACGATCCGGTCAGTAGCTTTCCTGGACCAAGGTGCCAGCCAGGTCACTGCAACCTGATAGAAGTCTGACTCCGGTTACCCGTAGGGTATACGCCAGTCGTTGAAAGTAAATATTTCTAAATTCCCAGGTCTTACCCTACTTCGAGCACCTTCCTGATTCAAGAACCGATGTGTTTTTGCTGTGTTTTGTTGTCTTCCGGGAGTGCCTGAACCCTATTTATTTTATCCGCTTTCCTATCGGGGGCCCCCAAACGGTGTGGTGACCACACCGTGCGGTCAGCCGGTGGGGATTAGGGGTCACCGCACGGTCTTGGGACTCGAGTCCCTCTCCGAGGATGTCTCGGACGACTGGGGCCTCCGAGGTCCCAGAACCGTGCGTTGACGGACCGTGCGGTGAGGCCTTGGGGGAGTTCGAGGTCACCGCACGGTCGGACTCCGCACTGCTTCGGGACTCCAAATCCTGCTTCATGCTTCTACCTGCTTCTTCCGACTGGCGTGTACGGCAGAGGCTTGTGCCGTGTCCACGTGACAGCTGCTCTCGGGCCGGGCGAATGAGGGGGATTGGGAAAGGGGGGGTTACGAAATTTGCTGCATGCAGCTGGTTTCGGCACCATCGAGGGGTCCATTCCTCGATACATAGCCGCCTCGGGTGCCGGGAGGCGCCGGGAAAATCAGCTACGTGAGCTGATTCTCAACCCCCCCCTTTGCTATCCCCCCCTTTCGCCCGACCCGAGGCTCCTGGCGCGGGCGTTCCAGGCGGCGCGCCGCCAGGGTGGGTCTGCTCCCGGCCTGCGCCGCACGAGCCGAGCCACACAGCGCGAGGCCGCGCGGTGTGTCGAGGTGGAACGATCCGCGCGCTTTGTGGGCCCCGGAAACGGCAGGGCCGTTTTCTCACCGTTTCCAAAAAAATGTCCCTTGAAAATGGAAACGGCAAAAAAACGACGACCGGAAACGGCAAAAAAACGGCTCCAGGATTGGAACCAGAGCCGGAACCGGTCAAACAACGGCGACGGAACCGGTAAAAAAACGGCGTCGGAACCGGGAACAAAAACGGCAAAACGGAACCGGTAGAAAAACGGCCCTGTCGTTTCCAGGGCCCACTAAGTCCGCGCGGTGTCTCAAGCAGTGGCGAAGCGTCCCGGCTCGCCCTACAGGCCCACCCAAGAATGTTCTAAGAGTGTTCGCTGTTTGCACGGAAGGTTCTCAGAACGTTTTTGGTTGAGACCGTCTTGTTTAATCGCATCGGCCTTAAGTTCTAAGGACAGTCACTGTTTTCTTCTTCGAACATTGTTGGGTTCTACGAAGATATCGTGGTAGGCCTACAGGAATGCCGGGACGGTCGGTCCCTGGTCAAGTGTCAGGAACCAGCGCCGAAGTCGTCTTGACACGAGCCCTCCGTGTCACAGTTCGTGCCTCCATGGAGGCGCAGCAGCAGGTCGCGGAGGTCTTTGGGCCCGAGGCACGCCGCGGCGAGCTGGCGTCGCAGATCGAGGCCGCCGTGCTGACGTTCGTCTGCGCGCTCGCAGAGGCTGGTGGCGAGGGCGGTGCAGAAGTGCCGCGAGCAGGTGCTGCATGTGCGGTGGCCGCTGTAAAGATTCTGGACGAACGACGCTCTGCTAAGGCCGCGAGTATGCACGCGGGAGACCGTCTGGCCTCTGAGCTGACCTCGCTATTGGATCTGCCCGTAGCTGCGGATGCGCGTGGGCACCAGCCTGGGTCTGCGGGGGCGCTGGACGTCGCTGGCAAGACGTGCAGGCTGAGCGGCGCGGCTAAGCGGATCCGATTTCGGCGCTTGGTGTCGCTGCTGGACAGCGTTCATGATCTCCTGTCCTCTGGGCGGCACGCCTCGCAGCGAGAGCTCTTCTACACGCATGCGGCACTGTTCAGCAAGCAGAGGCAGAGTGACGGCCTGATCAAGACGCTGTGTCGGGCGCTCGGCGTTCCCAGGCACTATCTCCGTGTAGTGGGCTCTGCGAGGGGCTTGGTGCGTGGCCACCTCCGGATTCTTGAGCCTGGCCTCGCAGGGCCAGGCGGTGCGGGCTGCTGGGTGGACGGCATGGACCCTCTTGAGCCGCGTGGCCATTCCATCGCCCCAATCTGCGCCCACCTTGTCAGTGTGGAGTCTTCTACGCGGACTGTTCTCATTGTCGAGAAGGAGACTGTCTTTCAGCGACTTCTGTCCGAAGGCTTCCTGGAACACCACAGGCCTTGCGTCCTGATAACTGCGCGCGGTTTTCCGGACCTGCCTACTCGCTACCTGCTTCGGCGCATCTTTGTCGATTGCGCTTCGCCACGCGTGTTCTGTCTCGTAGACTACGACCCCTCTGGCCTCGTGGTAGCCGCCACCTACGCTTTCGGACCAGAGGACGCGTGGATCCAGGACGATCTGTCGATTCCTCTTCTGGTGCCGTTGGTGTGCCCAGGCGGGGCGGCTGGTGCAGGACGCTTCGGTCTCGGCGAGGGTGACACGATGCCGTTGACGCCTCGTGATGAGTCACTGCTGCGTGGTTTGCGCAAGCGCTTGCTCCACATGCAGTCGAGGGTGCAGCCGGAATTGCTTGAACCTTGGGAGCGTTTCGCAACTCAGATGTCCAAGGGTGGCATCAAGTATGAGATCGACTCCCTCAGTGGCCTTGCATCACTGGTTGACTGTGTGATGGAAGCCAGTGGAGCGTGATACTGGTGGGCTTGCGCTAGTGTTTGCACCCGCTCGCTGGTACTTCTCGGTAGAGCTTGAATTCGATGCACGCTCTAAGGCAGAGAGCGATATAATTCACGCGTGATGCGGAGGAGTCGGATGAGAAGGACGGGGGAGGAGGAGGAGGAGGAGGAGGAGGAGGAGGAGGAGGAGGAGGAGGAGGAGGAGGAGGAGGAGGGAGGAGGAGGATCGGTACAAGCGCAGGAGGAGGAGAAGGAGGAGGAGGAGCAGGAGAAGGATGATGATGATGATGATGATGATGATGATGATGATGATGATGATGATGATGATGATGATGATGATGATGATGATGATGATGATGATGATGATGGGGCGTGAAACAAGGAGGGCGTTGGAAAGGGAAAGCTTCCTGCAGAGCGAGCTCCATGCCCTTCTTTCAGCTTGAAGTCGGGTGACGTCAGAAACGAGGTCAGGATGGATTCTGGGGGATGGGGATACTCCCAAATATTGTTGCTAATGCCGAGGCAGCGGGCTCCTCATCCCCAGGGGTGGATAGCTGAACCTGACATGTCTCAATCTTTTCTGGCCTCCGTCGATTGCTCGTGGGGACGGCTGGACGCAACTCGAAAAATTGATGCGGATGAGCCATCGGATAAACCCTGGGATGTGTTCATGGAAGTCGAGGCAGCGGACTCCTCATCCAACGCTCCACCGTAGTAGAGGGTTTAGAGTGCATGCCAGCTGCAGTGACAGGGCCGCGTGGGCGTGGGATAGCACACATGGCCTGAGCCCCTGCAGCTTCTAGCAAAAGTCATCATTGCTATCATCACGATCAACGTTGCCCTCTCGGGCTCGAGGGTCCTGGAGGCAAATCTTCTACTGAGCCTTCCCCGCACCGTCCTTCGAGGCAGCGGTCCTGTGAGGAGCATTGGTTGACGCGACATGGCGGCGCTCGAGCTGCTGATGATGGCCATCGCTGTGCGACAGGGTGAGCACAATGGAAGACGATTGGAGTCGTGGGGGTCGGTTTTACGAGTTTATGCCTGACTGCGCATGCGGCGGACAGGGTGCAATTCGGAAAAGGAGCGGTCGGACCAGCGAACGCCATTCCGTTGATCACTCGTAGTTGCTGGGAGAGGGCGGTTGTGCAACCCTCTCTTCGAGGAATGGCTGACCTGGACTGAGGCGCGTGGATTAGCGACGGGCCCCGCCGTCGCCAGGTGAGGCGGCACTGGCTTCATGTTTCGGTCAGGTATTCTTCCCGATGCGTGGATAGCGCGCCCACGCGCCAGATCCATGAATCCGTCTGCCCGATTTCTTCACTGGAGCGCGCTCGACTTTGCCCTCACGGCTGCGCGCAGTCTCCGCGGGTTGGTAGCGCCACCACCTGGCGGCAGCCCCAGTGACGCAGACGGTCGGCAGCGGCCCCTCTGCGGGCCAGGAAGCACGTGCTGCGGCTCGCTGCCTTGCTCCAATCTTGAGCACCGCCAAAGCGAGGTATCTCGCCCAGGCCTCCAACATATTGAGCAGTGCCGTGTAAGCGGTTGACTTCCGTCCTGGCCGGCCTCTGGGGGTCTTCGCCGGGCCCTCGGACCGTCAATTGCTTTCCGGAGGAGAAGGCTCGGGGCTTCTGGGGACCCCCTCATCGGGCAGCCTCCCCAGCCCACCCCCTGGGTGGGCACAGGCCCCAGGAGGCCAGGCCGCGCCGCTGGGGCGGGCATCGGCCCACGATGCCGTGGATCTCCGGGCGCCCCTGCGGGGCCGGCCCAGAGATCCGACGCCGCGTCGGCGCCGCCACGCCGCAGAGCCCCACGGCCGGAGCCTGCAGGCCCCCCCCCACCCTGACGCGCCGGGCGTCGAGCCGCGTCGACGGCGCCGGGCGACCACGCCCAGCGCGACGGCACTGCCACCCACAGCTTACCAGCCTCGAACCTATCCCTATCCTTAAGATTGACACGTCAAAAGGCGATGACAATCTTAGGGATGCGCCCTCAAAAAATAAGGGAATCCGTGATGATGAGATGCCCAGCATAGGGACAGGGATATGTTCCAGGCTGGTAGGCAGCTAGCTGAAGGTGGCGCCCCTGCCAGGGGCGGGCGAGCTCGGGCCCGCCGCGCGCCGCCCGGCGCTTTCGCCGCCCCGGGGGCGCCCCGGGGCTCGCGCGCGTGCGGCGCGGCCGCGCGTGGGGGGGGGGCCGTGGTCGGAGCGCGCCGGCCAGGGCGCCGGCGGCCCTGCCCTAGCCGGCCGGCCGCGCGTGGGCTGCCACTGCACCATGCGCCCGCCTCTCGGCATCGCTATCAGCACCATCCTCCTCCTCCTCCTCCTCCTCCTCCTCATCATCGTCATCATCATCATCATCATCATCATCATCATCATCAGCATCAGCATCAGCATCAGCATCATCATCATCATCAGCATCAGCATCAGCATCAGCATCAGCATCCTCATCCTCATCCTCATCCTCATCCTCATCCTCATCATCATCATCATCATCATCATCATCATCATCATCGTCATCGTCATCGTCATCTTCATCGTCATCGTCATCGTCATCATCATCGTCATCATCGTCATCATCATCATCATCGTCATTGTCATCTTCATCGTCATCGTCATCGTCATCATCATCGTCATCATCGTCATCATCAGCAGCATCAGCATCACCAGCATCATCATCAGCATCAGCATCAGCATCCGCATCTGCATCCGCATCAGCATCATCATATTCATATTCATCTTGAAGATCTTCATCTTCATCCTCATCCTCATCCTCATCCTCATCCTCCTCCTCATCCTCCTCCTCCTCATCATCATGATCACCATCCTCATCATCAACATCATCATCACCACCATACTCAACATCAGCAGCAGCAGCATCAGCATCAGCATCAGCAGCATCAGCATCAGCATCAGCAGCAGCATCAGCAGCAGCATCAGCATCTGCATCAGCAGCAGCAGCATCATCATCAGCATCGTCGTCGTCGTCATCGCCATCGCCATGCCATCGTCTTGTACATGCGTCAAGTTGCATGCTCCAGCTGATGTAGCTGCGCTGCGTTTTTGTTTGGGCTGCAGTTGCTTATCGTACGTATGTGTTTTCATTCTTCAGTCCAAGGCCTTTGGTTCCTTGCTTCGTGTGTAAAGCGGGCGTGGATTCGGGAGGTTCAAGCATGGTGTGGTGTTCAGATCTCCGACGATCATGGGGTTGATTTATGGAGAAGGGGAAAGGGGATAATCGAAGGAGTGTTGGGTAGCAAACGACAACGAACCCGAATGGATGAGGGCAGGGAGCTTGAAATGAGGATGGATAAACCATGCGTGATTCGGAGGATAACGAGAGGCAACAGCCTCTGCTGAGGAAGAATCAGCCATCATATAGGATACACAATTCGTTCAGCCAAAAGGGACTCGGGGGGAGGAGGCGGATAGAGAAGGACAGGAACAGAAAACACACACACACACACGTGAACGGTATTACGGATTAGGAGAAGGGGGTGTGAGAACAAGGAACCGAAGAGAGGCGAACGTGAAAGAGGACCAGGAAGGAGCGGAGAGGGAAAGGAACAGAAAACGAACATGACCGAAGAAATGATTCTGAGGACGAGGACGGCGAGAGGGAACAGCGATAACAGCAGCAGCGCAATCACCACCAGAAACACGAGGATAATGGGAGAAGAGACAGTCAGGAAGGGGTAACGCGTAGAGGGAGATCGGATGAGGAGGAGGCGGGGGGGGGGGAGAAGAGGGGACAGAGAAAGAGAGGAGAAAGAGAGAGAGCGAGAGCGAGAAAGAGCGACAGACAGAGAGAGAGTGAGAGAGATACACAAAACAAGGGAGGAGGCGAAGGCGAGTTATGGCTGATGAAGCGAGAGGTGATGATGAGGGGGAGTGCGAGGAGGAGTTGGAGCAGGGGGAGGATGGGGTTCGGCACAGGCTGACCAGTAGCTTTATTTACAGCAACATCCCAGAAGTGAAAAAGCACCGGCAAATCTTGGACGGGTCCCTTGAAAGGCCGAGGGGCACACATTGTGTGAATGCGCCGACGCGTACCCTTGAAGAACCGATGGGGCAAACATCGTGTGAACGTCCTGGCGCGGTCAGAGGGGGCGGGACACGGAGGAGGAGGAGGAGGAGGAGGAGGAGGAGGAGGATGAGGAGGGGGAGGAGGAACGCACAGGCAGGCAAGTATTAGGCTGCGTGCCCGACTCACCCCAGTCAGTCACAAAAGAGGCAGCCGCAACGGAAGGGCGAAGGTGGGGAGGAAAGAGCAGAAACGCAAATTGCGCTGAGACTGCATTGCGCCGCGCGCGACCGAGAAGGGCGCAGCATGCTAAAGACAATCAGTCTGAGAATGCGACCACGCTATGATCGCAGGCGGCTGGCCGAAGAGGACAGTGCGGGCTCGTGGGCGACTCCGTGGCCAGGGAGCGGCCAGCGAAACCGGGGAGCCTACAACCAACCACTTCCGCGTGCACCGGCGCAGGCGCCAATCATCGCCAGCACTCGGGTGTTCGACTACACGTAAGAGTGACCTTTCGCCAGAGTGACCCTTGGTGCGGGCACAATGGGGTCCCCCGATCACCGATTGCGATGCGATAGTAGCGTCTTGCGCGCCTGAGTTTGGTCCCCCCCGCGGCCCCCCCAAAGCCGCGCACCAGAGGTCACTCTTACGCAGGGCCACTCTTGCGTGTAGCCGAGGGGTGGGCGAGGACGAGACAAGGAGAGAAGGCGGAGAGCAGGCCCACCCCAGCAGGGTTAGCCGGCGCTCCGCCTCTGGGAGGCGAGAGCGGGAGGAAGAGGCGAGGGGGGCAGGGCAGCCCGACTCGGCTGCTGGGCACCCCGCGCCCCGGAGTCCTCCGGCCACGCGGCCAGGACAGACGTGACACCATAGCTTGCACCACACTGCGTCGCAGTACACGTTGGTCGTTGGAAGTATGTATTTTTGGATTCCCAGATCCCAATCTACCTCAAGCGCCTTCCTACTTCAAGAACCGGCATGCTTTTGCTGTGCTTGTTT